TGTGTACCAACAGTGGCAGCTGGCTGCATTGGTATGATGTCAGGTTGTATTCGGGTCGTGTGCCATCATGCAAGCTGTCATATCAAATTGAGTATAGCGTGCTTTTACGTTTTCTTGAGTCTCAAGAAGAGAGCTCAGGCAAATGTGTACTAGATAACAATGATGACATGCATTTCATTTAAAAATAAAACATGTAACAATAAATTTGGCTTAAAATATCCCACAAGTACATCCACATTTTACAATCATATTCTGACCAATCCTCACCCGGGAACCTCATGTATTTTGTGTGGAGGCTTTGATAAACAGACCTCTCATATCTGACCAGATGGTTTTTTTAAGATGTATATTTAAAGTACATTAAATGTACAGTATACATTGAAATCCATAACGTATTAAAATATTCAGCTCCAGGATGATATAGGTAGACCTTCAGAAATATATTCTGAGATCAGTTCTTGCACCAGTAACGTTACACCAGTGCAAGTCCGTTACACCATTATAAGAAATGCATTCAAAATCCTACTCAAGTAAAAGCACAGACATATACATATATACACAAGGTATCAATAGTACAAGCACTGTTCCTGCAGACAAATACCCCCAGTCAGCAATATAATCTATAATTTTATGACATATTAGGTTGTTGCACCATTTACTGTTATGCTATATCGAGTAACATGAAACTGAAATACTGCACTCAGTAGAGTAACTACGTGTTTAGTTGTTGTCCATCACTGCTGGCTTGACATTGAGTAATATATTGCAACTACAAAATGACGCTTCAGACTTAATGGGTGATGTGTTTAGCTACATCGGCACATGATTTCATCGGAAAACTGTCATGGTGTCAGTACAAGTCCCAAATTGGAGCAAATTTTTTCAATAGAGGAAAATTTATACTACAAAACAAGCTAACGTTAGCTGTGAAAATTAGAGTAACCACATACAGCGTAACAATTTCATGTCCGAATGTGATAGGGCAATGCCTACGACTGACAGTTTCAATGGAGCTGCTAGTGTAGCCTGTGGCTGACTTATCCTTCTTTTATTTATCAATTATGACACGCTGTCAGGCCTCGATGTTCACCCTAACGATGCATCCGCTCACCTCTGCTCTGATAGCTTTATGGTTTCCTACGCCACGAATGGATTAGCCAGCTAGCTGCCTAGCTGCTAACAGTAACGTTAACTTCACAAATAGCAAATGTAACAAATGGTGGCGACATTAAAACAACTACGGTGGATGTAGTTGCATAGTTCGGACGATGAGTAAGACCTTGCTTACCTGCTAACATTAGCCAGGTAGCTGCTGTGAAGTCAGCTGCTGATGACGGCCTGGGTAGTAGGTGTCCTCCTCGGTCACAGAGGCAGCGGTGTCTGTCTGAATTCACTCGTGTTTCTTTTAGATTACGGTATATCATTGGATGCATAGGTTACGGACGACGGCTGGAAGGACTAGCTACCATATCTAATAAGTTTCCACTATAATAAATTATGCGAAACGCGTATCCGCCTCCGAGCTCGGTGAACGAGTGACTCGGTCAGCTTACAACCTACCTTCCCAACATCCTCTTCATCATCAGTCCGCAGGGAGTTCCGCATACTCAGAGCTCGACCCAACGGAAGCGACGAACTAGCCTCCAAAATGCACCAAGTCCCACGGTTCTTTACAACTTTATACTCCCAAACTGTGCGACTGTTAGTTTAAGAGCATGACCGTAGTGTTTTTTTGTTTGTTTTTGCTGTTTTAATTGTCAGATTTTTCTAAATTGTCTATTTGCTTAATTTTACTAGATTAATGTTAAATGTTTTACTTTTGGTCTTTTATTTATCATTTCCTTCGTTAATTATTTATTTAGTTTGGTTGTTTATTTAGTCTGTTTAGTTTGTAACAAATGGGAATAATAGTAGGCACGTTATCAAACATCTTCTGCAACTTCTGAGGATATATTAAAAAATCATATATAAAAAAACCACTTGAAGGCATATATACCCATGTTAAAAAAACAGGAAGATCTTAATATTCAGACAGGTTACACACTCTTAAGTTATTCAAAACCTTCTGTAATTCCATCATTCGTCACCGGGAGTCAGTGATTTGAGTTAGTAATACAGAAATGTTTTACTCTCCAGCAAATAAAACCAATAAACCAAGACAGAATACATATATACTTAAGATGGTCTGATTTGAATGTCTAAGCATCAAAGAAAGAAAGCAGCAAACAAAGTGACTGATTTCAAACATGTCAGCACTACAGCACTGCTTTAATTTATACTGTACATACAAAACAAAGGTCCTCATGAGTTACAAGTATTAAAATAGGTTTGTATTTCTATATATCAATAATGTTTACAGTGTCACCCTTTGAGGACTAATTAAATGAGATCAAACCATTACAGTATATACAGTACAATTTCCTTTGACACCTACAGCATTAATAACATGTTCACTAAGAAACAGAGTTAAGAGCCAGCAACTGGTATGTTTTGCTCATTTGATCAGAGTATAGAACAACAGAAAAGGAAATTTCACTTTCATCCACTTCCCTCTGACCTGGATTTGTTTCCATTGGACAATAAGGACTATTTACCCTAGTAGTACAGAAGCTACTTTTAAACCTAATGGTTAGTGCAGTAACCCAAAAACCAACAGATAATCTTACACTTCATTCCAAAGGGACCCAAAAGAACGTTTTGCAAAGAAATCACTGGTATGGTTTCAAAATGCTGCACCCTCCTGTATTAATCTGCCTCTTTTAATACTGATCCAACTGTTAAACAGAAAACAATTATATTCAGCACTAAAGGATTAGAAGGATGTAACAAAATCAAAAACATGTTCCCATTTTTAGAGCATCAGTAAAATGTAAATAACAATTTGAGAGGGAAGGCAAAAGGTTTGATAAAATACATGAGAAAATGCAGGGACATCACTGACTTCTGACTTTGCAGTCCTGCCAACTATGGAACTCAATCCCTTTTCATATTTTGAATGTTGGAGATTTAATTCATCATTTTCAAATTAGCAATGCAAAATAATACAGGCAAAGGTGAGTATGAAACCAGTTTTTTCTTATAAATGGACTGCACTTGCTTCCAGTAGCAAAAAAAAAAAGACAGCTGTTTGTCAGGCATTTTCTAAGCAACTGATGGAGAGAGGAAGAAAAACACCCTGGCTCCTATTGTTACTGTGATGAATCTGCAGGGTCAAGAACATACCATTGTTAGTACAACAAAGACTGTGGAGGAAAAAACACCCATTTGTTTGTATTCATTCGACCCACCCACTAACAGGCAGAGCTCACTGCATTTTGCCTATTTACAATATTTTACCTTGTGGTGAATGAGCTCAACTAGTATGCAGCCAGCTTTACATGGGTCACAGGTATAGTGGGTTATTGTATGCTGATTAAATTAGCCATTAGATCCTTTAATCAACACAATAAAACACAAGAAACAATGTCACATATGGCAAATACAAACTACAGTTAATTTATGCTTTTACCATTACCAGAGTTATTACTAAGTTCACAAGAATTCCTTTGATTTGTTCTAAAAGGATTTAAAAGACACACACTCCTGTCCTGTGCAACAGAAAGAAAACAGCTCATCACAGAAGGAAAAGCACAGACAACCCAAGTCTAACACCAAAACAGAAATGATAAAAGCATAATAAACCCATCCCCAAATCATTTTGGTCAAGATCAAGCCAAATCAAATCTTGGGCTTTGTTTTTTTGAGTTGTATTTTTTTTTTTGTCATGAGTCTGTGAAGAATTTTAGCTGTAACATATAGTTGTGTATATGAAATATAATCTTATTAATCAACATCCGTAAACTGGAAGTCAAAAATGATAAAAACGTAACAGTAATCTGTAATGTCTGATTCTAACTGGTACCTTTAACCAGTGGTGAAAAGCTGATACGGTTGAAACAATTTGGCGCAAAAAGAATTTTATATCTTTGTTATAATGGGAAATTGCTACATAGACAGCTAAAGAAAAAGCATTGGGCTGTCCAGTTTTCAGCCCTCTTGATTCAATGCGAGTCTGGAGAGAATAAACATCACCACTATGAATTTACATTAATGTTGCCTTCTCATCCATTAAGTAGCATTTCAAGTTTTTACTGCACAGGAGAATTCTTGGAAAGCACAGCATAAATATAAACGCATAGATCTGTGTAGTTACATGTACTATAACTTAAAATGTAAATGTTTCTGCTCATTTGCTGTTCTCTGCTCCCGACCAGTTAAAGCTGTTTGCGTTGAGTACCTGCTCAAGGAAGACACTCATTCCATGGTAGATCTTTAGATCAAGTTAGTTTTGCACTTTATACTGAGCTTATCATTTTTCTTCAGTGTCATCAATAGAGTATTTTATGAAAAATAAAAGGCTGAAAAATTCTCTGCATTATGTTCAAACTATGTATGTTGCTTAGACATTTCTCACACTTTTAAAAATGCTAGGGATTAAAAAAAAAATCACAAATATTAAAATAACTGCACTGCTTACTAATGAAATGAAAAAAAAAAACCTACACCCATACACACAGTATAATGATGAAGATGGTGTTAAATAGAGGCAGTCCCTTCTATTTTGATTCATGAATACAACTTTGTCAGGGTGGCTTCCTTTTATAACCAACAGATCATCTTTACATTAAATCTGAAGACCCATTAGTACCACCCATTTCAAGGTACCAGTGCTGTGTATAAAAATGTAGTTACATCACCATTTCTCCAAAATAAGGGTACAGTCTGTCAGTCGCCTGCACATTAGTATGTGATTGTACAATCTTGTGGATACTTGTGTGCACTCCATACATTTTTCTTGTGAAAATAAATATACAATTTAAATGATGGTTTATGGGTATCCATACACTCAAACAGGTTGCTTATGCACTTGGAAGAATGCTCAAGTAACTGAAATAGAAGTAAAAGAAGCCTCAGAAATCCTCGGAGGTCTACTTCACATTACTATACCCGAGTGACTACATCAACCATGAGTTCTGCATTTACTTCGAAAGGAAAAAAACTACTTGCTGCCATATCATAATGAATAATACCAACCAGATGACCTACCATTTTACCCTAACATCAAGACGGTGGACAGCAGATACAAGTCTGCGCATGCCCAACACTGGATTCATTTCCATCACAATTTCAACTGCACATCCAGCTGTAATCCTGACATGTCAGAGAGCCACAGCCATGACAAGCTCAGAAATGATTAGAATTGTTAAAGGATGAATGTGGACCTGCACTAGACACTGACATAACTTTCAACAAATATAAAATCAGAAATAACTGGCTAAAGAGTTCGATGCTGGTATTTAATATTGCCACAATCATGTCAGCATCTACAACAAAAGAAAGGACAACAAAAGGCTTTAAAAAAAAAAAAAAAAAGAATCGGTGTTCATGTTTCTCCTCATGAACACAAAATAACTGAGCAGTCTCTCTGAGAGCAAAGGGCAATGATGTCCTCCTCTCACAAGAAAATATAATTTCAATGCTATAGCCAAACCCTTGGAAGAAAGGAGTCAGTGTTCCTGTTGGATGTCATGTCTTTCTCAGGCCTGATAAAGCCATGGAGTGGGACATCAGAGCTGCAGTCACTCATTGACATCCCAGATTTCAGAGAGCAACGGGGGAAGCTTCTTGTCCTGGAGGCGGAGCGCAAACACCTGCTCTGAGTGGACACTACTTAGTGTACGAAGGCTCACCAGTTTCATCAGCATACGGGGGAACATCAAGTGATCCTGTGGAAACCATGGCAACAAAATTAAAGGTTAATACTAGGAGAGGAGACGTTTAGGCCTTGGATCTACATCTGCAGAAATTACTTATAGCCCACTGTCAACTGCTGCAAAAAAGTAACAGGATAAAAGGTTAGGTGTCCAATATTTAATAGCAACATTAAAGTAAAACACTGTCTCCCATGAAAAACCTTAGCCTCAATGCGCTTGTTGTAATGATAATAACCAAATTAAGCTTCTCAGAATAGAAAAGATTATGCAACCAACTTACATTTGGTCTCTTTATCATAATGTAAGAGCGCAGTGCGTCCACATAGGGTTGCTGCAGCCTCTCCACCAGATCATGATCCTGCACATTTGGTCGATCTAAACAAAACAGATTTTTTTTCTTTTTTGGTAAAATGCAAAATCTGCAAGTAGAAACAGCCCATTTGTCCCTTAAAAAATTAACAGGGGTAGCAGTAGCTCCTAACTAGTCCTGCATAGTAATCATTCGCTGCAGGTTGTGTACATTTATGAATTCTGACCTGCAGAAAAAATGTTGATGGCAATGAGCAGAGCATATTCAGCCTCATCCAGATGCAGGTCATTCATTCCTTTTGAAAACTCAAAGATGGGGTTAATGAACTCAAACTGAAGACCTGAGGAGGCGAGAGTTGACAGACAGACAAACAAAAAGAAAAGTCACTTTAAAGGAGAACATACTGTATGTTGCAATAATACAGTGCGTGCTTTAGGCTTTCCTTAGCAAATCATCACTAGAAACAGTGAAGTTTGAGCAACACATTTTTTTCTATAGAAATTAATATCAAACTATACACAACAATTATGTGTTTTAAATGTTCATTTTTTTTCTCTGATTGTGACTAATTAATACAGTAGTTATATCTAACATTTTCTAGGGAGAAAAGAGCAAATGCACCTGCTTTGGCAAAATCCTCCTTATTATAGCTGAAATCCTTCAAAAATGTTATGCTATCGATAGCAGGGTTGTATCGCCGAGACGTCTCCAGCAGCATAATCTGAGGAAGACAAGCACATCTTGGTGAATGGAATATTAATATACAGCCAAACCAAGACAAACTGATATGCAGATATTCAAAGATGCTACAAATGACCCTGTATTTTGAATTGAGTTCTTTATTCTTTCTTCTGGAAGGTTTGTGCCTTCTGCTCATTTTTAACATATTTAAGTGCAGTACAGTTCCAAAAGCCTTGCATTCAGGGCAAAACAAACATTACAAAATCAAACTAACACTGACAAGAAACATCATCTGATCTTAAGTAATGATAAACCTCAATGGTAGATGTCTTCAGTAGTGCAATCTGGTCTTCCCTGGTGAGCTCCAGGAAACCAGGAAGCTGCTTAGCAAAATCCACAATCTCCTGGACTGACATGATTGCCAGCTCAGTGAAGTGGGCAAACCGCTGCTGACGCACTTCTCGGTTCTGCGGGTCCTGACTCTGTGGCCAGGGCTATTGAACACACACACACAAAAAACCATTAACACCCATAAGCAGATTAATGAATTGGTTAGCAAGGAGTAAACATTCCTTGAACATATTTTCAAAACAGCAAAGCAGCTTACACAGCATTTCCCAGGTTAGACCTGGACAGCATTGATGCTTCAATCAAGTACCCTTTTACCAGAAACTGACTACAGATGTGTGTGCGACTCTGTGTGCCTACATGCATCAGCAGCCACTTACTAACTGCATTTTGTCTGTATAGTAGCTACATTATGTCCTGCAGCTCCATATGTTGGCAGAATACCAGCCACCCACACTGAATAGCTATGCTAAATGCAGCCCCTGCTACTCGTTCTTTAAGTGAAGCTAGTTTTATTGTCACTAATTAATTAATTAATTAATAAATCATTAATTGTTACTATTGGAAACCAAGCAACATTTTGAAGGTATTCATGTTAAAATGTTTTGCCCATATCTTTAAATGGGCCTGCTAAATTTAGCAATACATGGGTGTGGGCTGGCAGAAGTTGTGTTCCAGTGTTTCAGTTTAAGTAAAAATTACTGGTCACAATATGGTTAACAATACACGACAGACAACTAACTGTTCAAAACCAAGCCCAAATCAATCCTCTAAGACTTTCACTTACTGTCACTTTTGGTCGGTCAAGGAAAGACCTCTTGTTGCATTGCTTCTGCATGGCCACCAGCTTCTCAATCATCTCCTGCTGCTGTGGATCCAATGTGGCTGCTTCCTGTGGAGGGGTGAGGGTGACCACGGTAGATGTGCGGGCTGTTTCTTCCTCCTGCTGCTTCTTCATCTTCTTTAGTCTGATTTGTTCCTCAGAAAGCACGCCTACAGGTCAGAGAGGACACAAACCTTGACCACAACCCAAAGCCTGAGTTAAAAGGATCCATTTTATTATGACACACCTAAAATGCAGTGGAATCTAACTCCGATTCATTTGGCAGACAGACACTCACACTGCTCCAGCATGCCTGCCTCCCGACACTTGCGCAGGCGGCACTGCTGGCACTTGCGGCGCATGTACATGTCCATTTCACAGCGGCCGTTGTTCTTGCATGTATATTGGGCACTTTTAATGACACTGCGTCGAAAGAAGCCCTTGCAGCCCTCACAGCTCAACACATTGTAATGAAAACCAGAGGCTTTGTCACCACATACACTGCACACCTCGTTGCCTAGCATCTTTGGAGCAGGCCCTTTCTTTCTCTTCACAGGCTGACCATCTACAGACACACAAGAAAGAGGTGTTAAACATTATTAAACTATTTCACTTAATGTAATTATCTGGGGCAGCACTTGCTCAATATGTGCAGAAGGACACAAAGTCTGTGTGTACCGTGACATTTGAATAAGGATTATTATTTACAGGCATTCTATGTAAATTAGCAAAGCTCACAAACATGTCTGCATGCAAAATGTGCAACTACATAATACCAGGTCTAAGCAAAGATGCCCAGACTTCCCTCTCTCCAGACACTTCCTCCAGCTTCTCCGGGGGAATGCAGAGGCATTCCCAGGCCAGCCGAGAGACATAGTCCCTCCAGCAGGTCCTGGGTCTTCCCCGGGGCCTCCTCCCGGTGGGACATGCCCGGAACACCTCCCTAGGAAGGTGCCCAGGAGGCATCCGAAACAGATGCCCGAGCCACCTCAGCTGGCTCCTCACGATGTGGAGGAGCAGCAGTTCTACTCTGAGCTCCTCCCGGGTGACTGAGCTCCTCACCCCATCTCTAAGGGTGCGCCCGGCCAGAGAAACATACTCAATGAAAATCATTTGGCTCTACCTCATTTTTTAATACACAGTACAATCTAATCAAACCAATTTCAATAATTCTGAATAATTAAAATCTATATTAATTTGATGCTGTAGTTATAAGCATCTAATGTTTTTGTTCACTACACTATAAGTATACATGAGTTAGCAATGACAAGATGTACTGCAGCACTAATGGTTGGGACTGCACTAAGTTGAACATGGGTAATTTAAGGTATAACTAAGTTTAACTGTTAAAATTCAAATATAATGAAATGTAGAGTGGACGTCACTCTGAAACTGAGACAGAGGTTTAATAAAAACTTAAAAACTACAATTAGCGTGCTCAATAACATGGCATCAGGGGCTGACTGTCTTAGAACATATACTTAAAGTATTAAAATCACAATCTCATTGAAAATTAAGCAAAAATGAACATCATAAAACTTTCTGGACTCGGTTTTCTCCTTCATGCCCTAAGATATTCATTTTCATTGTGATAATGCACTCAGCAAAGTCCTGTTTTCCCTCAATGATGATTAAAAATAGTGACTAAAGCAGAAGCATTTACAAAAACTGCACATCGTCTATGTTTCTAAACTATAGACTCCTAAAACTGATGTTTGCCATTTTTTAATGTATATATCCTGATAATGTCAGTTCTGGAAAGAAACATTAAAGCTAATCTTATGTTATTTAAACTCAGTAATTTTCTCTCACCTATGCTGGCAGATGTGTCACCTGCAGCTGGATCCAACTTGATGTCATTTGGCTGTACCAGCAGAGGGCTGCTCATCTCAGTCATTGACGAGCCATTATGAGGAGGGACAGGAAAACCATCTGGCTGAGAGAGGTCAGCCAGTGACAACAGGCTGTCATGCTTCATTGCGGTGCTTCCACTGCTCTCCTCAGCCATGCAGTCCAGCTGCAGCTCAGGGGCCCTGTCAAACACCTTAGTCTCATCTGACAGGAGACACAAACACAACACCATTCAAGACAACCACCTATCTCCTTGCACCTGTTTTCATCACACTTGTGACATAAATGTTTACATTCACCAGCCAAACGCTGATATACAACAGAAACACACATACAATGCAGTGTTTTCTATAAATTGACTTATTTGTGGCGGGACGCCACAATGTCAGCATTTACTGGCACATATTGACTTAAAATAGGTTTAAATTTTATTTCAATGTGGTGCTGTACGTAGCACATGCTCAGCCCCTCCGTGCCCCGCTCACTTTTTCCCTCTCACAGACACAAACACATGACAATGGACTGTCTGTGCACAGCTCCTCCTCTGTGTTTTTGTAACACAATGCTGTCAATAGATCCAACAATTTTAATGTTATTAGCAAGCTAGTATGGCTTGCAAAGCTAATGTTAGAATACAGCTGTTGTTGAGGTTATCACACTGTCTATAGCATGAATGTATATGGACTGCTCTGCAAGTGGCTGAAGCTAATGCTAGTTCATAAACTCTGACGCTGAATGTTTGCCTCTTCAGTCAGGGCAGTATAAAAAAAAAAAAAACAAACATGGGGAAAGCTGATCAGTCCGACCAGTGAGATGAGCGATCCAATTGATTTGTTTCGAATATTTACTGGCTTTAACCAGTGCTGCTGAAGCAGCAAGAGGAGGGAGGCAGCAGCCAACATGCTGCTGTTGTGGGAGAGCTAGTGCAAAAAGGGCAGATGAGATGAACATCGCAGAGTATAGTATTACTATATTTAATAAGGAAAAAATAAATTATGAAACCATGTAATGCAGTACTCATGGAATAGATGCTACTGTGAAGATTGTAGTGTTTCTGCTGAAACCACTTTTGTTTGAGACTGTAGAAATCAAAGAGGTCATGTGGGACATATGGATGTATTTTAGGATAGTGATTCAACAGACACTCATGCATGAAACTAATTTCATTATACAATAAACAGCATGTTTCCTTTTACATGGACAAAATAAAATGTAATACAATATACAAACCACGCTGGAAACCCACTCCTAGAGCATACAAGAAAAATAAACTTGGTGGCATACTAGAACAATGAGGTATATTGGGAGAATTCAACCCTGACAGTTTAATATGTGTGTGAAAGAAACTGTTCATCTTACCATGACCAACATCTGGGATATCAGTCACAGACAGCGTGGACATCTTCTGCACAGCAGCTTGTCATTACGAAATCAACATGTACCTGGCCAAAAATAAATAAATAAAAATAATAATGATAATAACAATCATATTCTACTACGGTATCAATTTTACAAAAGATAAAAATAAATAAAAATCACACAATCATAAAGAAAATCCCCTGGAGCTAAAATATGCTTGCAAATCAATTTTATGTACAAGCTACATCAGCAGTCAGTCATCAAGGGGGCAGAGATTTTCCAAAGAAGAGATGGACTACATGTCTGCAACCTCATGTGACATACTATGTCTAAGACTCAGACACATGTCCAACTGCAGAACTGTATGCTTAACTTGAACTTTTCTTACTTTCAGAGGACATTTCTGTTACAATAGCTGCTGAGTGTGTTTCCCCCAAAGACATATTGAGGCAATGTGATAAACAATCTAATGTAAACCTGCTGACACTCTAGGTGCATTGTGCGACTGTATCTAGGCTGTGTACACAAACAAAATTACAGTCTCACACAGATATTGCAGTTCTTAGAAAGATCGAAAATATCAAAAACTTTGAAATCAACTCTGACCCTGCCTGTAAAAATGCATGTACAGGAAAGCCAACTGGATGTAAAAGCAGAAATGAAAGTTTGTCATGTGCCAAACAAGGATGCATTTCAGGAAACTGATTCAGCAGACACCCATGCATGATTTTGGCTATTTTTAATCACCCTGAAAGAAAACCTATTTATCAAATATATTGTATAGTCTTCTGTAATTTTCTTGTGCACTTAATGTTTTCATGTGAGACAACACAGGACTGTGTTCGTCTCCCCCCATTTTATAAGAAATTCACAAATTGACAAATTGTGTATACAGATACATAGATTAGATTGATTAGATAGATACAAAGAAATTCTGTTTAAAGCAGGCCTGCTCATTAATTTGTGACATTGCCCCAAACTGTCAAACATGATGAGGAAAATAAATAGAAGCATCAACAGTACAGCGAAAGAGAATCTCCAGCA